AGAGAAGAGAAGAGAAGAGAAGAGAAGAGAAGAGAAGAGAAGAGAAGAGAAGAGAAGCATGTAGTTGAGGGAAAAAGTGAGATTAAGGAAAGTTGTAAAGGACAGCACATTTTAGTTGCTTAATTTTTTTTTTAATTCTAAAGATTTGATGGAAGAGACAACACATTTATACCTATAGTAATAAATTATGTTCAGTTGCATTCAGTTCAATACTTCAGAATTTTCATACTCGTCAGCCATAGCCAACATGGACAATAAGGAAAGAGGACTGGAGGTGACATGTGATAACACCTAGACAGCCACACTTCACAGAGTCCTGGCATGCAGAATGACAAAACTGTATAAAAATACTTGCTTGTGGAACATCTATTGACATGGTCCCTTAGGTGGTTTATTCCTCTATTTTCTTCCCAGCCAGCCTGCAGAGTGCTCCCTTCACATCCCTGTTCCTCAGGCTATAAATGATGGGGTTTAATGTGGGGATCACAACTCCATAAAAGACCGCCACTACTTTTTCCCTGTCAGAGAATGTCTTGGCCTGAGGTCTCAAGTACATGGCCAAGATAGTGCCGTAATAAATGCTCACTACAGTGAGATGAGAGCCACAGGTGGACAAGGCTTTGCTCCGACCTTGTGCTGAGTGGATTCGCAAAACGGCGAGACCAATACGTCCATAGGTCACCAAGATAAAGAGGAAGGGGAATGCTAGTGTAAAGACACTGGTTATTATCATGCTAAGCCCACTGGCATGGGTGTCAGAGCAAGCCAACTTCAACACTGCCTGCAATTCACACTTGAAATGATTTACCACATTTCGCCCACAAAAAGTTATCTGCATGCTAAAAAAGGGGACCATAGTGAAAAGGAAGGTGCTGACCCATAGGCTCACAGCCAGCTGGATGCATACATTGCGACTCATGATCAGGTTGTAGCGCAGAGGGTAGCATATTGCCACAAAACGGTCATAAGCCATCACAGCTAACAAAACGGACTCAGTCACAGCTAACAGGATGCTGATGCCCATCTGAGCAAAACATCTGCCCAGCGGGATAGTCGGCCTGTCCA